TGAAAACAATTTCAGATAAAACTTTAAATATAGATCCTTTTTGATGGTTTAAAGCATTGACTTATAGGCAAACTTCTTGATTGTGTTTAAAATAGTTTAATATTGATTTTTAGGATGTCTATAACCTGTGTTAATCATAAAAAATGCTATAAATATTCCTGAATATCGAAAATGCTCAACTATTCAAAAGATTCCATCAAACTAAAGGTTGAAAGCACCATATTCAAATAATAAATCATCTACAGAGTAAAATAACTAAAACTTATTCAAGCTGAAGGATAATTTAGTGAGTTGTCCAGTAACAAGTTCAATGGCTTGAATATTAACTCAATAATAAACCTTTTTGCTTCAAGTATATCAAGACTTTTTACCTCGAAATCTCAGAAGGACCCTTGTTATCTTTCATTTAATCAAATCTGTCACTTACTTCCTGCTCGACTGAGGGCTTTTTTATTAAGAAATTTTGCAAGTTGTGTCCTTAAATTGTTTTATTAGGAAATGTTACCTTTTTGAGATGACTTTGAATTGGGACAAAGGGGTGGCATTGAGTCTTTTGAAATGAACAATTTTTGAATTATTGTGAAAATGTTTATAAAGCTGTTCTTTTAGGTCCTCGAAAAAATTGAATTTATATCAAGTACAGAAAAATATGATGTGCGCCATATTTGGGGAAAACAGTAAACACTTTCCCAAAATATTATGCACGTCAATTTTTAAAATTTGCTTTTTTAAGCAGAAATCCATTTTTTCTGATTCCTTTGCAGTCTCTAAACAGATCTATTTTAGAATCGACACTCAAAAACCTTTGATTCATCCTCAAAAAACAGCTTTTACCATTCTTAGCATAAATCACAACATTCTTTTCTCACAGTTCCTAAAAATAACTTCCTCTCAATTTAAATTTATGACCATCAACTTAATCATTTGTGAACAAGCAATAATATGTCCCAGTCTAGCATATATGAAAAACTGATTCTCATCCCCCATCCTAGTTGAGCATCAATAAATCAATGAGGACAGGCACAGTATTGAAAGAAAAGATGAACAAAAAAGGCACTCAAGCGTGTAGTTGGCCAAGCTTCTTCTGCCTCTTCAGATATGTTTTATAGTTGCCGACTTGCTCTTCTGCCTATAATTGCCTTATCTTTTCCCCCAAAAAATTGTTATTTACTCTTTATTACAATTTATGTCCAGTTGAGTGGACTTTAAGGTCGCTTTACGCTTTGTCAGTTGCTATTAAATCTCAGCTTGAATGCCATACCACCATTGGACTTGACGGGGACTATCTGCTTAAATAAGAATTTATTTGAAATGCTTTTTGACCCTTGACTGCTTGTGCTGCTTTTATCTCGACTAGATTGCTAGATTAGAACTGTGAGTCTGTGGAGGAGAAATTTTCTTTATGAGACTTTGTAATTTTCTCACCCGGCGGTTCTTTGATTTGGAAATTACAAGGCGAGAAGCTGGATGGAAAATTTCTAATGAATGTCAGACGACGATTTAATGAATGAATTTATGCGGATGGAATGAATAAGAAGACATCAAAGAATGCTAGATTTGGTTTGTTGTTTAGGGGATTATTGTGAAGCAAAGGAACTGATTGTGGTTTGAAATTAGAGAAAATGTAGAAAAAATATTCCACGTGTGCCATATTTTTGAGAAGAATTTAAAGTTTTTCTTGAATATGGCGCACGTCTGTTAAAAAGTTAAAGACTCTATTTTTAATTTCTTTGTATTATTTGTAGCTAAATGGTAAAAGGGTTAGGGATAATTGACCTAGGCTGGAGAGAGAGGCTAAAAACTAGTACATAACCTCAAAAAATAAAACGTGTGAAGTCTCAAGTAAAATAACATTAAAATTTTTAAACATCAAGAACTAAAATTACTTGCAATTTCTCTGGATCTTAAATTTGAGTCTCGTGCGCCATATTTTGGGAAAACTTTAAAGTGGTTCTCCAAAACTGACGCATGAAAAACTTTTGTTCAAATTTTAAATACATCAAAAAATTATTGAAAGATGTCAAAGAACCTCAAAGAGCAAACCACTCCAACAACCCTTAACAAAACCATCATCACGACTCATTAAACCATTGAAATTATGTCAAAATAACATTTACATAAAGAAACAAACTCAAAAAAGAAGATAATGCTAAATTTACTATAAAATAACTCAAATCGTGTCGGTTTACTGAGCAAATTCAAAAAGGTCGGTCACCGCATTTAAAACTAATTTTTTACATCCAAAAAAAAGGTTAAGTTTGTGAGATAAAAAAAGAAAAATTATTCAAAACATAATGTTAGCATGACGAGATCAAGATTGAGAGGATTTTACTTGTTTCCGTAGTTCTACTCATCTCAAAATTTACGGTTTACAAATTTCTTTTTTATTAAGAAAGAAGGGAAAAAAGGTAGACAAAAATAAAAGATTAGGCATGAAAAATAGAAACGAAAAGGGATCAAAAATACTTAAAATTTATGAGGTTTGAGAATTTTTCGCAGTAATGTTCACAGATGTGAGGAGTTATTGATGGGAAGCGTGCGGTTTTTTTTTGATTTTTGATTAAAGTTGGGAAATGGTTGAGAGGTTGAGGTGTGATTTTGGGGAGTCTTGTCAGTTTTGACGCTAAAATTGAGAGCTTTAAAGTCAATGCAATTGTATCGGTCATTGTCTCCTAGCTAAACCTTTAAGAAGAACCACTAAAATCTCATTAAAATCTCTTAATTTCCATAAATACAAATTCCACCATAAAGAAGTGATAATCGATGCTGAACGGAATGTGGGTGGTTGATGAGAAAGCAAAAAATTCTTACTGAGTCAATTATTATGATGATTATTGATGAGTTTACCTTTTTTTGGCGTGGGGTTTAATGAATGAAAAATTATTTTATAGCAAAAATTCCATTGTTTTATTTGTTCATATTTTTCAATCATTTATATTATTTATGAAATGAATAAAGCCAAGCGGATGCATTCTAGATAAACAAATAGTCTAGAAAAGTTTTAAGAAGAAATTTTCCAGTCTAGGGTTTGACATGGTTCCCCCCTCCCCCGCTCGGATTACTGGCCTGGACTTTCTATCAGTTTTTGTCACAAATTTTAATGGTTCAATTGTGGGCAGTCTTAAATCTTTTATATTAACTAGCATTTTTCGACTTGCTTCTTCTTTTGTTCACTTATTAAGTTTTAGCAAGTGGTTGTGATCCCACTATAAACTGTAGGTCTAAAGGGTGTGGGACAATAGATTCTGTTCTAATTTGAATCGCAGTGCCTCCAGCTAAAAGCTGGGCCGTTCACAAATTATTAAGTTTAAGGAAGGGGTGGGGGGTTGAGGAAGTGAGGTTTAGGCAATAGAAATTCTGAGAACTAGATTGTTCCATATTATCATGATTAGCCATTAACATAGCAACAAGTCCTATCACCTAAACCCTATTTAAACGGAATAACAAGCTTGCAATTGTTGATGTCCAAGTTCCATGCTTTAATCGTTACCTCTTTGCTGTACTATAGAAATTTAGTGTTAAGAAAGCGATCAATTTGAAAATATAATTACAAATATGATCTTCAGTTTCCAAAAAAAAATTTAAAATCAACTCAAAATAAATCTAGACTGAATATCTTTAGTAAAATAATCAATTTGTTCCACCCACTGACTAAGATTCACCAAAAGCACACAAAAAAAAACATTAAAATGCCTACAAAAAATTATTAAGAATCGAATAAATTCAATCTCCGATTCCACAAATAAAAAAAGAAGAATCAGCGCTAAAAAGCAACAATGAAACTCAAACATATGGCCCGAAAGAAAAACAAAAAAAATTTGACTCGAATAATTCTGAATTATTCATGACTAGAAGATTTGCTGACTAGTCAGCAGTTTTCATTATTCATGGATACGAAATTATGAAGACATTTTCTCACAATTTGTTACACTTGAGTGAAACTTTAAGTTTATTGGGGCGATCTGAGTCGATGGACTTGATTTTTTTTTTTGTGATGAATGGTTTGGCAAATATTTGATTATCGAGGTGTTGCTGGTGCTTCTTTGAGGTTGAAAAGTGTTTTTTTGGATAATTTATTATTTTGGAGAGTTTAGTCGAATAGCAAGAGTCGGTTAATCGAATAGAAACCCAGCGCTAATGCAGCATGACCTTGACATGGTACTGGCATCGATTTTAATAAAGGACTATGTAAGAGCAACACTGGCTGGATTAACCGACTTGTGCCTTCCGGGTTAATGAGGTTTAGTGTGACTTTTTTGGAGCCAAATAAAGGTCAACTAAGTTTATGGTGGTTTTTAGGTTATGAAAGAGCTTAAGTTTGATCGTAATGGTTCTGTAATGTCCATTGTGGCTCTGAAGGGTTCTTTAGTTCTCCAGCGACTCTAAAAGTTTATTGAGACTTTACGTTTCAGTTAAATTCTGAAGGGTCAAATGAGATTCAATGGAAATTTGCAGGGTTTAGGAACGTTAATTCTAGACTTAACAGGGTTCAAGGAGGTTAACTGAGACTTTAAAGAAGTTAAAAGTAACAATTATGAATCCGTTGAGTTAAAAAAATAATCTGAGCTTCATTGAAGGTTCTATAGTGTTCAAAAAGCTTCATTTGGACCATAAAGTGCTGGTTAAGGTTCATTAAAATTCTATAGGATTGAGGAAGAGTCTGCAGTCATCACTGAGGTTCAGATTAAATCCAAGGCCTCCGAAAAACTATCTTTGCAAAACCACAAGAGACAATACAGTCCAGACTAAATCCACATGATGCATAAACCCAATAAAAATCTCCTTCCTGCTATCAATTCCAATTCAATTTAAATCTCATCACATAATCCATGTCAAATTAATTTGTGTGAATGCATTCAACTCAGCTACAACAACAAAAACTGCAGCCAACACATTAAAACAAAAAAACAACTCTCAAACTTTATCAGCTGATTTCTGCTGTCTACACTGTGTACGTAATTATTTAGCACATTTTCTCTCTGAGTGAACAGACTAAAGTTATGTGTGTGAGACTTATCGCATGAGTCACTCGATGTGGAGCTCAATATTCTCTGTTATTTCTTTTTGTTGCATTAACTTTTGTGTGTTTGAGACGTTTAGATCTTAGAAAAGATCTTTGTTATACGTAATATTATTATTTTGGTGCTGAATGTGATTTATTTTAAGTCGTTGATCTCAAAAAGACATTCTTAAAGTGCTTAAAATTGTGAAATTAGACTAAAAAATATTAAAAGTTGCAGAAAATTCAGAAAATTATCTAAGAATTTCGCAAGATTCAATAAAAATACAGAAAGTGCTAAAAAGTTCAGGAACAATAAGTTTCTAAAAATTAAAAAAAAAATATTCAAAACATTCCAAAAATTAAGAAACTTTGCAAAAACTATCAAAAATCATCAAAAAGTCACTAAATTGTGATCAAGCTAGATTGACCTAAATTCAAAAGCAATTAAAATCTATCTACACAATAAACCCACAGAACTGCCAGTATTTCCTCAAGACAACTCATCAAAACTTTAGTCACACCTCTTCAAACATCCCAAAATCTACAAAGCAACCTAATTCCTAAAGCTACAACTACAAAGTAAGTCAAAGCCATCAAGAACAAAATCTTCATCATGTCAGACAACCATGGCATGAAGAACCTCGTTCTAACCATCAACAAGCTCCAAGAAAATTTCAAAAATCTCAATGTTCACATGGACATTGATCTGCCGCAAATTGCTGTTGTTGGAATTCAATCGTCTGGAAAATCGTCTGTTCTAGAGAAGTTTATTGGCAGGTGAGTTCGGTTTAATTTTTTATATTCACACCGTTTTCACGTGTGAATCTATTGGTTTTGTTCAGATTGAAAAATCAGTTTTTCGCATTTTGTGAGAAAACAAAGCAAAATTGGTTATAAAAGGGCAAGAAGAAAAGTTTGTGCCTGAAATTTTACATCATTTTCAAAAAACAGATTTCAAATTGGTTGTGGCATTGCTGAGAAAATCGCAAAATACGCTTTCTGTAAGCAAACAAGCAAGCAAGCAAGCAAGCAAGTTAATCAGCAAGAAATCTCAATAACGAGACATCGTAGAGACTTCTAGTTTTTTACATTTGATCCGTGCTACTCTATAGAATAGCTGTATTGTTTTTGGGCAAGGTAGGAACAGCCGTTGCTTCAGAAATGGCAAAAAACTTTCCTTTCTTACGAATTTTTTAAAACAAAAGTTGACTGTGATTTTTATAAAATTCAACTTTGGATGAAAATTTTTTTTAAAAAACTTTTAAAGAATATTTGGCATATTCGTCAAGCTTTATACCTTCAAACTTATGCTGAGAGTAGCTCAGCTGACTCGATAGCTTTATAACTTCAAACTTATGCTGAGCGAAGCTCAGCTGCCTCTCTAGCTTCATATCTTCAAACTTATGCTGAGCGTAGCTCAGCTTACGCGATAGCTTTATAACTTCAGACTTATGCTGAGCGAAGCTTAGTTGACTTATCAAGCTTCATACCTTCATACTTATGATGGGCAAATCTTGGTCTATTCATAAGACGTATGATAGTACGGTGTGAATATAATCCGCATTGGGCTTCTACCCGATACACTAGTTTTCTGTGAAATTGATTGGATTTTGAGGTGGGATTGTAGAGAGTTAAAGGAAGTTAATGTTAAAGAGTTTAGTCTATCATGCTCTGATTTAGGATGAGTTTATGGGGAATTTTAATGTAAAATTCTAGTTTTTTTTTGTGATTCATGACCATTCATCTGAGAATGTGGATTTTTCATGCTGATTTCATCAGACATTTACAACTCCTTATGCTTTGTGATTGAACATTGATGACGGATACTGAAAAAGTCTGAATTAAGTTGCTAGAAAGGTTATATGAAGATGTGACAAAGTTATTAGAGTGATTTGGTAGAAAAGCTTTAGTTAAAGCAGTAAAATTTTGGTCAGAAAGCTCAAAGGTAGCATGAAAATAGTCAAAAATCCTCTAAACAATTCCACATTTCATTTCTGAACTTCCTTTATTAATTACTGTGACGCAGCTGTAACATTCATATTTCCAACATATTTCACTCTATCCCACAATGTGCACTTCAATCAATGATGATCAATTCAACTGCTAATGACTCAGAAACCAACGAAACTGTTTATTTTACACATGGAACTGATAAGATGCCGCTGTCTACTTACTTTTTTTTTGTACTGTTGTTCAATTCAAGGTTATTATGAGTAAAAAGAGTGAGCAATTTATACGGTTGTGTTGGTAGATTACGGTGTTTTTTACAAGAAAATTGAGCAGTCTGTTGAGTTAAATCATTCATTATGACTAAGTTTTGGGTTTGAAGTAATTATTGACGATGTTGAATGTGAATTTAATGTTTATTTGGAGTTGACTTGCGAATTTTATGTGATTTAAATATGTCTGGTTCTTAAAGACTCAAAAGGGAGCTAGTTCTTAGGTTTTTATAGCTAAGTACTTAAACTAAATCATAACAAGACACTCAGACACCAAGAAAGAGCTTTAAAGTAAGCTTTTCAGTAAAATATCCATATTTTACCTCTACATCTACCCTGCTACCGCCTCAGACCTATGTCTATCTATCCTCCACCTCCCCCCTACTCTAATTTCCAACCTACTGTAGAGCAACCACTAGTAGTGGAGTAGGAGTGCGTATATCCTTAGTGAACCTTATTTTCCTAGAAAACATGGCTAGGGTTAATCACAGAAACCAACCCCAGAAAAACCTTAATCGATTTTACTCCAATTTAATCCATAAAAACTAAGCCAGCACTAAAATTTCCCATTTTTTCATATTGTCTTTAACAGAGACTTCCTCCCAAGAGGCTCAGGAATTGTCACTCGACGTCCCTTAATTCTACAGCTCATAACCCACACCGATGAATATGCCAAATTTGATCATACTGAAGAAGTCTTTCGTAACTTTGAGAAAGTCCAAAAGGAAATAACTCAAGAGACTGATCGAGTTGTTGGAACTAACAAGGGAGTATCGAACATTCCAATCGTATTGAAGGTCTTCTCACCTAATGGTAAGTCACATAACCTACAAATTCTTCAAAATTATATAAAAAATTAATTTTCCATTTTCAGTCCTCAACTTAACCCTAATCGACCTTCCTGGCATGACAAAAGTCCCAATTGGTGACCAGCCACAAGACATTGAACATCGAATCCGCTCCATGATCCTTGAATTTATCAAAAAAGAGACATGCTTAATATTAGCAGTCACACCAGCAACAATGGATCTCGCCAACTCAGAAGCACTTAAATTAGCTAGAGAAGTAGATCCAAATGGCAACAGAACCATCGGTGTTATTACAAAACTAGATCTGATGGACAAAGGAACTGACGCAGTTGAAGTTCTTGAAAATCGTCAATTTCCATTAAAACGAGGTTATGTTGGTGTCGTTAATCGTTCACAAAAAGATATCGATGACAAAAAGGACATCAAAATTGCTGCAAAAGCTGAATTGGAATTTTTCAAGACTCATCCATCTTATCGACATTTAGCAGACCGAATGGGAACTGATTATCTACAAAGGGTGTTGAATAAGCAATTGAGTGAGCATATTTTGCAGAATTTGCCAGCATTAAGAGAAAAGTTAAGGAAGCAGCACAATGCATTGGAAAATGAATTTAAGACGACTGAAGTGACATCGAATGTTAGACTGCTGAATGAGTAAGGAACTATTTTTTGAGGTTAGGAAGACTAAATTTTGATTTTATTTCATTTTAGGATTATTTCAAAGTTTAAATTGGACTTTCGTGGTGAGCTTGATGGCTATGGAGGTTCGATTACCAAATCAGATGCACTTACTAGTGGAACAGAGATTAATCGGATTTATAATGAAGAGTAAGTATGTTTTTATCGTTATCTGGAATACTATTTTTTTATCCTCAACTTAGTTTACTAATTTAGTATCTTCAACTTAGTTTACTAATTTAGTATCCTCAACTTAGTTTACTAGTTTAGTATCCTCAACTTAGTTTACTAGTTTAGTATCCTCAACTTAGTTTACTAATTTAGTATCCTCAACTTAGTTTACTAATTTAGTATCCTCAACCTAGTTTACTAGTTTAGTATCCTCAACCGAGTTTACTAATTTAGTATCCTCAACATAGTTTACTAATTTAGTATCTTCAACTTAGTTTACTAGTTTAGTATCCTTAACCTAGTTTACTAGTTTAGTATCCTCAACCGAGTTTACTAATTTAGTATCCTCAACTTAGTTCATTAATTTAGTATCCTCAACTTAGTTTACTAATTTAGTATCCTCAACTTAGTTTACTAATTTAGTATCCTTAACCTAGTTTACTAGTTTAGTATCCTCAACCGAGTTTACTAATTTAGTATCCTCAACTTAGTTCATTAATTTAGTATCCTCAACTTAGTTTACTAATTTAGTATCCTCAACCTAGTATACTAATTTAGTATCCTAAACTTAGTTTACTAATTTAGTATCCTCAACCTAGTTTATTAATTTAGCATCCTCAACTTAGTTTACTTGTTTAGTATCTATAGCTTAGTTTACTAATTTAGTACACCTAGTATAATCTAACTTTGTGACACCATCTTCTTAATTACCACCTTACAGACTCCGCAACGAAGACTTCAACTTAAACTTCGACGAAGATTCGTTCCGTGAAGAAGTAGCAATCACAATCCGCAACACAAATGGAATGTACAGTAACATTTTCATCCCAGAAAAAGCATTCGATAAGGTCGTCGTGACATTTATTAATAAAATGAAAGAACCGTGTCAAAAATATGTCACAAAAATTAGCTCAATCCTTCAAAACAACATGATTAGTCACACAGAAAAGCTCTCAAGGCATCCGGAACTGCGCGAAGAATTGAGGAAATTAATAATTTCTCACATTCTCGAGCGTGAAGCTTTGTGTAAGGAACGAATGATTGAAATGATTGACGAGGAAATGTCTTATATTAATAAATTGCATGACGACTTTAAATTGATTGAAGAAAAAGAAGAGCAAGTTGAAAGTACAGGCGACGAGATTGAGAGAAAGTTTACACATATTGGATTTTTATACTTGACTACTGGAAGATTGAGTCGAGCAGGTTGGATTAGACACTTTTTTAAGCCATTCATAAGAAATTATTTTAATTTTTATTTTTATTCAGAAAAATTTTGGTTTGTTTTGACAACAAACAGCCTGTCGTGGTACAAAGATGACACTGAAAGAGAAGTTGAAGGCTTTGTGCTACTTGGGAACTTGAAAGTGACTGATCATAAGGGTTTGAACTTTAGGCTTATTGATAATGATGGAAAGAATGTTTATAAGGTGAGTAACTGGAGTATTGAAATTTTGTGGACACTTTGACAGGAGCGCAGCTACTGAGGATGAGTTTTAATCTCACCAAAAGGTTATAAACTAATCTTGTGGCTTCAAGAAGGTCTTTTGAGCTCTCTTAATAGATTATAAGCTTAGTCCATACATTCTTTAGAGTACAGTATTAAGTATACACTAACCCGAGCTATGCATTGCACGAAATCTCATTGTTTGTCATCAAAAATGCTTTATTCAGTCACCAGGGCACCTTCTTTTTTCTATGAAATGTTTATCCTTAAAGCATGTGCTCTGGTGACTCCTTTACATTAAATGGGTTAGAGTATACTTTATTGTGAGATCCACCGTACCCAATATAGTATCCTAACCCAATTTTTTAACCATCTAGGACATTAGCACATTAAGAATCACATGCAAATCACCAGATGAAGCTAGAGAATGGGTTGATATGTTGCAATCAGTTGGTGTCGGTTCCTTCAAGAATTCAACAATGAGACTGAATGGAAATTCTCCTGAATCGAGTCTTTGGCATGTGCCAGGAGTTATGGAACCAACAAAAGAGGTAGAAAAGAAAGGATTGAAGAAGGTAACAAATCTACTAAAACCTAAACACAACTTTTCAAACGTAAGTTTGAGCATTTTTGATGAAAGTTTGCGAATCTAACCTAAAAAATCTTTTTTATTTGTTTTAGAATAAAACCTCAAAGAATACGAGAGTCGACCAGCAAGTAGAAGTAATCAAGAACTTAGTCATCAATTATCTCGAAATTGTGGTGAAAAATACAAAAGATAGAATTCCAAAAATGATAACATGGCTTCTTATCACAAATGTGCTTAACTACATGGATCACAACTTAGTTGCACATTTCTATGAAAATGAGCTTGTGGTGAGTTTTCTGTATAAGTCTGTTAAGCTAAGAAGCTTGGTTGATGAAATATTGAACCAATCTATTAAAATTCCCTGAAACGTGCGTCATATTTGGTGAAAACAGTAATGTGTTCTTCAAATATGACGCACAAAAATATTAAAATTAAGCTTTACTAATAATTTAATTTTTATAATAGGACTATGTGATGCAAAAGTCGCAACTTGAGCAGCAGAGAATCGAAAAACTACATAATATGTACAAGGCATGCAAAGAGGCTCTTAAAATCATCGGTACGATACTTTAATAGCACGTAAATTTGAGCAAATTTTAATTTTTGTATATATTTCCAGATAGTGTCTATGGAAACATGACGAAGCTTACTAATGATGTTAAGTAACGTCGCTTAAAATGTTTATTAAACCTTTTTTTTCAAATAAAAATAATTAAAATTAATCAACAAAAAAAACATTTTTAAAAAATTATTTCACTTATTGTTTAATATGATTCAATGTTTTCATTATAAAACTTGCGGTTAGAACAAGTCATCCTAAATTTCAGCATGGAGATTGTGTCATCGATATGGGGACTGTTTTCTAATTATGTAGCGCTTCTAAGCGAGGAAAGGACAACAATAGAAAGCTTATTACAAAAACAAGTAAGGAAATTAAGTTTTTTTTGCATTACTTAATAAATTTCAGATTCAGTTTAGGGGCCGTTCACTTATGACATCCGACATCTAGGGGGGGTAGGGTCTAGGATTTTGTAACAGTTCAAACAATGGAAATTTTTTTCTATAGAATTTTGGTGACAGAAGGGGGGAGGGGGTCTAAAAATCAGGTTTTTCAATGGACGTCATAAGTGAACGACCCCTTAAGTTCATTGTATTGAAATCAGCAGAACAATTAATTTAAATTAAAACCCAAATTTAAAAAAAATAACCATGGAAGAAGTAGCAACTGCTGCATTAGGCTATCTATTCAAAAGAGTTGCTGTAAAAGCTGGCCGAAAGATCCTTGATAAAATAGAAAAGTCTTTAGACTAAGATGCTGACAAGGAAAAGAAACAAGTCAAAAGGTCATCCAGAAAGTATGTTAAAAAGAATAAACCACTTAATGCTGAAAGTTTAGACGAAAAGTCTGTTGTCAGCAAGAAGCCCACTCTTGTAAAGCAAGAAAAAGTACGCCCTAAAAGACATTTCTATGTTGCAAGTCCTAAAGATAATGAAGAAGAAACCGATGAAGAAAATGAAGCCATAGAAGAGGACGAAGCTGAAGATGAACGTGAATACTCAGATGAAAGTGACGAGGAACCTGAAGATTATCAAGAACACGACGAGGAACCTGAAGATTATGAAGAACAAGACGAGGAACCTGAAGATTAGCTAGAACACGACAAGGACCAGATCGAAGCTGCTGAAGAATGCTCCGAAGATGATCAAGAACAAGAATAAGATCTGTTCGAAAATAGAAGATAATTCAAAAATAAACAGAAAAATATTAAATGCTCATTTCATTCATTAAAACATTTCACATACTCCATGCGTCACAACAAGCTGATCGTCATAACAAATTAGTCATCTCAATACATTCGACTTTATCAAAGTAAATAAACAGAGAGAGAGAAAAACTAGTCAAACCACAAACATCATCACGTAAGTCAGTAAGTTACACGTTTTTGTTTTCATTCACACGAGCTATGCCATTCGCAGTCATAATTTTAAATTGAGTGATGACGGAAGATTTTTTGCTTAGTAATCAGCCAAATAATATTGAAATTGAGGTTCTAAGTTGTTAAATTAGCCATTAAAGATATAAAAGTTGAGCCCTGCAAGTGCCATAAAATGGGTCTAAGTTGTTCAAAATCAAAAGACACAAAGAAAAAGAAGCTAGAATAAGTGGACAGTAGCTTTAAAAGCATAAATCTACTGAGAGAAGAGAGGAAACAAGCTGAAGTAAATGAGCTGCTGCACAGAGCTGAAGATGCAGCTGAGAAAGCAGGAAGCATTTTGACGGTCGATGACAACGTGCAAAAGAATGTAAATAAAATTAAGCGAAAAAATAAATAAATAAGAATTAAAAACTCAACTGCGCTGTTTATTTGCTTATTTGGAATGTAAAAGTAGTCAGCATTGCGATTATGTTGTGTATTTTATTGCCGCTTTTGGTATTGCACAACACCTTGAGTTCAGCTATTCAATTAAAATAGTTTTGAATGGAGAAATTCAAGGAATTAAGTTGTTGAATTTTCTTCTTTGCACTCAAAATCAAGTGAATCAGTTCTTGATAATATTTCCGAGCAACCCACAACTTCTATTGGAATTTTTGAAAGACGAGTACTGCTAGCGATTTATGGTCCTGTGAAGGAAGGAGAACAGTATCGAAGCCGACATAATGACAAACTATATCAGTTGTTCCCCGTGCAAATCGTTTGAGATGGGCTAGACATGTCTTTAGACGTCCAAAAGATTCCCCAGTCCTTAGAGTGACTGTTCCAGACTTTGTAGATAGCAAGAGATCTACAGGAAGACCAAAGAATACCTGGATTGGATGTAGAGTTCTTATATCCCGAACTGGCAGAAGGTCTCGAATTAAAGAGCTGTCTTTAGATAATCTCTGAATGCGGCAATGGGCCTACGTGCACCCTAGCCAAGGAAGTAAGTAAGTAACCCAAACCTCAAGTGGTCTTAGATTAGCTGCCACTAATGTTATATCAAGTTATATCATTATTTAACCGATGATGTCATTAGATTGAGTATAACATATCCAAACAAGACTCACTAAGTTCTCTATTCAACCAGCTTCTGTTGATGTCATGTCCAACATTAATTTCTGTATTTCATGATTAACAATTTTAAGAGCGGCTTTTAATTCTTAATTATAGATTTGAAACAATTTAATGATGATTTTAACTTTGTTCGTCGAAATCTTTCTTTTTTTGTCATTTAAGGCGAAGAGCTGCAACAACTCTTAACAATTGCATGCTTTAGGGAATATAAATGTAATTAGACTTAATTTGGGTGGTCACGATTCTCACAAACTGAGTCAAGTAGCGAAACAGCTTCTAATTTCGAAAAGACACTCTTTAAGATGATACTAAACCGAGGAGCACAAATCGATTATTCGAATAGAAATCCTGGCTTCAATATAACTTCAGCACCATGCCAGAGTCACACCTGCTTGGTGCTGGATTTTTGATTGAATAATCGACTTGTGCCATTTGGTCATTACAGTCATATGGAATTGCTTCAGCTCCATCTTTAGCTTCTAATACAGCCACATCAGTCGCACCTTCCTTACAAACCTTGCCAACTTCAAAAACTCGAAATATTCAATTTCATTCGAATGTAACTGACACTTACTACACATTAATTCATATCTACGCACAAAACAAGAAACAGAAAATGTTAAAGATCAAAATCTCAATAGGCTTCGTTTTCGTTCATTCATTAACATGTGCGAATGAGAAGGCAGAATAGTGATAATTGAATTAATTGAGATAAATTATTGGCTGTTTTGGGAGATGAATGGTGAACATGAGAAGAAAATTGAACTTTTTTTTTGATACACATTTGGATAGATTCTATTCATAAAGGTCGAATTAAAGTGAAATAAGGTTGAATTTGGGAAAAGTTAAGGTTTTTGAGATTGCTGTGTTGAATATTGGTTCAAAATATTTATGCATAAATCTAGTTCAACCATATCGAACTAGACATATACTCGTAGCTTCCCTAGTCGTTGAAAAAATCAGGGCTGGTTTCTAGTGCTACCGAAGGCTTTTCTGGACGCAAAAATCAATCGAGATTAAGGAACCTGGCTATGTTGAACCTTAATACTAGCCATTACGCTTACTTAACTCTGCCGAAATATAAATGAAGTAAAACAGTTCAAAAGCTTTCCTCATGAAGTTCTACATCTAGTCCACTGTCGCGCAAACTTTTTGAACCATGCATGCCATGGCACACTTTAGGAGTAAGCCATTATTATTATTATTATTTATTTGTCGACGTTACCGTCCGGAAGAATTAGTATTTATACATGTTTTACTTTTTACATTGTTTAGTGATACATTTCATATCAATATTGTGACGTAGAATCTAGCTTCTAATCTTCAAATCTAGGTTTCGATTAAATTCAGGCTCTTGTTTAAATCTTCTGTGGGCGTGACGTGATACATTTCAGGTTCATTCTGACAATATTCCATTCGTGGGTAATCTTGTAGCTCTCGTTCCAAATTTCTCCCGCTACACTTCAAGTTCCTGACCCGTTCCTTAATCCAACGTTACCCAATCGCCCAATTATGGCATATAAGAAGTCGAAGTATCTAAACTTCTGAAAAAGAACAAATTTGGAAATGGCTGGATTCGAACCGACGACCTTCGAGTTACCATACCAAATTTGAGCCAAGCGCCTTACCTATTCGACCAGCAAGGCACTTAATTGCCTTAACCATGACCACAGTCAGATACAGCATGTAGCTCTCGTCTTTTCTAAAAATGTCTACGGCACACAGTTTGGACAACATTGATCTAGTCTCATGCCATAGTCACCCAGCAACCAAATCTAGCTCCATATTCTAAAATATCCCAAACATAATTCACAGCTTGTCATCCCACTCAAACATGATTATGTCAAGCTGTCTAATTCCACAAATAACATAGAAACGCATCTCAAAAAAATAAAATTAAATCAATAGACGAGGAAAGAATTGAAGCTAATGGAATAATCTAGTCTAAATGAGCCTTCGGAGAGAAAATTGAGAATTTTACTTTTTGTGCGTCATTTTTCGTGGAACACATTAGGAAAGTTTATTTTGGTAGACTTGATGTAGTAGAATCAAATATGGCCAATGAAATTAGAAAATTAATTTTTGCAGATAAGAAAAGGTTTGTGGATGATATGAAAAGTTTTTGATAAGAATTTGTGGTCGGTGCGTTAAATTAAGGTGGAAACTGTTTTAAACTTTAAATGTTTATGACGTCTGAGATGTAAAGGAAAGGAGACTAGGATGTTACGATAGCTCGAACAAAAGAAATTTTTTTTATGTAAATTTTGTGACAAGGGGCGGGGGAGGGTTCCAAAATCATATTTTTTGATGGACGTCATACGAAAAAGAATTAAAATATATTTTAACAATTTTTTCAATTATTTGACCGTTTGAGTTGAGTGATTTCTGAATTTCGATATTTGTAAAACTTGTTGAAGATCTCTTTGATTCTGAAAGAAAGCTTTTAATTGAATGTATTGAACGTAGCTATTTCAAAATTCAAAAATCTTTAAAAATACATTAAAATACTTCCAACTCCAACCAAAATCATCAAAATAACCTCAAATTATGCTTTCTCGCTATCGGGATCGGGATCGGGATTTCCCGGGATTTACCGATCCCGATCAATCCCGGGATCCCGAAATTTATCGGGATCGGGATTGAAAATCCCGGTTTTTTAGTTTAGGAAATTATTGATGTTTTAGAACCTGCTAAATAC